GAGTTTCCTCCATCTCCAATTTTTAGCTTTTCCATTCCTTCGCGAACACCTACATCATCATCCTCACATGAACTTTTGGAATTATCATCATTAGTTTCATCAAATGTTATGTGTATGGCTTCTTCTATCACAAGAGTCCTTCTATTAAAGACTCTATATCCTCTTTTGTTTTCGCAATATCCCAAAAATATTCCTTCATCAGATTTTTTCTCAAATTTACCAAGATGTTCCTTTAAATTTAAAATAAAACATTTACAACAAAAGATCTTGAAATATCCAACCGTAGGTTTCTTATCAAAAATCAGTTCATAAGATGTTTTATTCAAAATAGGTCTCAAAATGATTCGATTCATCACATAACATGCAGTGTTTACCGCTTCAGCCCAAAGGTATTTTGGCAAACTACATTCACTTAACATGGTTCTAGCAGCCTCTTGTAGAGTCCTATTTTTCCTTTCTACAACACCATTTTGTTGTGGAGTTCTTGCAATAGAAAACTCATGTGCTATGCCATTATGATCACAAAATTCTGGAAAATCACAATACTTGAATTCCGTTCCATTATCACTTTTAATTCTAACAATTTTTAAACCAAACAGATTTTGCACTTTAGCAAACAATGAAGTGAAATTCTTGAACGCATCATCCTTATGAGCAAGAAATATTACCCAAGTATATCTAGAATAATCATCCACAATCACAAAGCAATATTTCTTACCTCCCAAACTAGTGATTTGAGTAGGACCAAATAATTCAAGATGCAAGAGTTCTAAAGGTTTGGAAGTAGATACACACTTCTTTGGTTTAAAAGAAACTTTTGTTTGCTTTTCAAATTGACATGCATCACAAATTTTATCCTTTTCAAAACTGATTTTTGGCAAGCCTCTAACTATCTCCTTTTTCGAAATTTCCTTTAGCAAATCCATGTTAAAATGACAAAGTCTCCTATGCCACAATCAAGGATCTTCATTTGAAGCTTTAAGACATTTGAAGCTAGATGAATCAATTTTATCAAGAATCACAATATATATGTCGTTGAACCTTTTACCTTTGAACACAACATTATATTTGGAATCAAGCACAATGCATTCATGCTTTTTAAACAACACATTCAAGTCTTTATCACACAATTGACTAACACTAAGCAAGTTATAACCTAAGTTATCAACTAAGAGCACATTATGAACAAACGTTTCACCATCCTTACCAACATCACATATTCCAATTGTCTTAGCTTTCACATCATCACCAAATGTCACCTTTCCACTTGATTTTGATTTCAGCTTTATGAACAAAGAGGGATCACCAGTCATATGCCTTGAGCAGCCGCTACCAATAAACCATTTGGACTTGTTTGAGCCTTTTTCCTGAAAAGAGAAAGTGTTTGGTACCCTTTTTAATTATTGGGTCCACAATAGTTAGCATTGTATCTAACTAATCACATGCATTTCATCCCTTTGTTCAGATTTCTTTTCACATAACAATCTCCTTTCAAATGCCCTTTTTGACAACAAAAATCACACATAATGGAAGAGTCCTTAACATATAATGGTTTGACATATCTCAATCCACCTCTTCTATATGTTGTGAAACCATGTGCATTTTTGTTGTGTGCTAATGTTCTTTGATGAGCAGTAAGATGGGTAGATGACATGTTCCTTTTGAGAAAATCCTGCCTTTTTGCTTTCAAAGTTTCATCCAACTTATCCATTCTTTTCTTCAAATCACCATGTCTTTCCTTCAGCATTTCATAAATATTTGTCTTTCTATCAAACTTATTTTGAACATCACATCCGACTCTTACAAGACATTCATTGTCAGTCTTTAATTGTTTATTTTGTTGAAAAAGACTTGTATTTTCTTGAATGAGAAAAGCAATTTTCTGTTTTAACTGCTTGTTTTTATCATAAGATTCCTTCAAGGCATTATGCAGTTTTTCAACAAAGGATTCAAGATCATCATCTTCATCATCATCACTTTCAAATTGAGAATGTGTGGAGGTTATCTCATTATTTTCAATAGCCATGAAGGCTATTTGAGATGATTCTTCCTCTTCTTCAACTTCCCCTTCGGAGTTGCATTCATTCCAAGTAATCTGGAAGTTGTTGAATCTTGGCTTTCGATCAGCTTTCCCATCTTTCATCTTCTTCATGGGGCATTCGTTTGCATAGTGTCCAGGCTGTCCACATTCATAGCATTTGTCCACTTGCTTCTTGTTGAATTCTTGTTTTCCTTTGTTCCTTGCATTTGATGAATAATTTTGAAATTGATTGCTAGGTCCTCCCTTTCTAAACTTTCTTTTATTCAAGATTCTCTTGAAGTCTCTTGTGATGAGAGCAAGATCATTATCATCACCATCCGAGTCTTCATCATCCAAGTGAGTTGGATCATCTTCACCTTGAGTAGTCTTTAGAGCAATATTTCTCTTTGCTCTAACATCCTCTTCCTCCTGCACTTTAGATTTCAATTTCAACTCATAAGAGGTTAGTGAGTTAATGAGAGATTTAATAGACATAGAATTTAAATCCTTCGCCTCTTCTATTGCAGTCACTTTATTTTCCCATTCTTTCCCCAAAGCATTGAGAATTTTCTTGTTCTTCTCTCCCAAGGTGTACTCTTTGTCCAAAACCTCGAGATCTTTGATCAAGTCGTTGAACCTGCAATACATTTTGTCAATGTCCTCAAGAGGTTCAATTTTAAATGATTCATACTTTGTGACCAAGATAGTCTTTTTCTGTTCTCTCACGTTGTCACCACCCTCATGGATTTCTCTTAGCTTATCCCACATTTCGTTGGCCGTTTTACAACCTTTTACTCTAATTGATTCATTTGAATTTAAGGCACTATAAAGAACATTCATGGCCTTGGCATTCAATGTGAGGTTAGTCCTATCTTAAGCATTCATTTCAACTCTCGTTTTTGGCCGAAGCAAACCTGTATCTGCATCAAGAAAGTTAGCTTCATGCGGTCCTTCACTCACAATAAACCATAGCTCAATATCAATAGATTGCAAAAAGATAATCATCCTTTCTTTCCAGCTAACATAATTTGAGCCACTAAACATGGGAGGTCTAGTAACAGATTGCCCCTCAACAAACATAGCATGACTGGTTGTCATCTTTACTCCAAACCGCTTGAGTTTAATCTCTAGGAGACCAAGTTCTGATACCAATTGTAAGGCCCAAAAACAACCTAAGAGGGGGGTGAATTAGGTTGATTAAAATCTTAATCAGATTTATGCACTTTTTCTTTAATAAAAATTTACCTTCTTTTCTAGTAATGATCAACCAAATAGATTAGAAGAAGAGAGCAATGTTGAGTAGAAAAACAAGTATAGGTAAGCAATGAGAATTTTATTAAACAAAAAAAATAAGATAGAGTATCAAACCGATTGTCTACCAAACTTTCCTCAAACTTGAAGATCAATCACAAGGTTGAGCAACTTCTCTTTGATGAAAGACGATCAACTAGATGTACAATGGAGGGAGCACTTCCTCCTTGCCCTAAGTCTCACTTCGTCAAGCCAAGAAGTTTTACAATCACTCAGATAACCCTCAACAAAGCTACACTAATGAAACTTTCAACCACAAGAGAAATGCTCACAAGAAATTCACACAACTTAGAGAACAAATCTAGCTTTGGAGACTATTTTCTAACTAAAATATCTCTTGAGATCTTGTAAACAAAGTGTGCAAAAGTCCCTTCTTGGTTCCGAACAGTTTATTTTTAAAGGGAACCAGAAATAGGCTTCATCAATGCTTCCAACGGATAGAAGGCAGATGAAGAGTCAGCTAGCCGTTGGGGCTGTCGGACGTCCGACGACCAAATCATCGTCCGAACCAATCGTCCGAAAACAGCCAAGTTGAAGTTCGGACGTCCGATGCATTTTTATCGTCCGACAGCACAGCGTCCGATCGTTGGCAGAGAGTTGGCAAGTCATCTTGGAATTTTTCGGACGTCCGATGCGGTTGATGTGCGTCCGAGGCGTGCGTCCGATCCTTCCGGACGTCCGATGCTTCCTTCTAAGCGTCCGACAGAGCTTCCTTCTTGATGTTCTTTATCCTTTCGGACATCCGACAGATTCCTTTCGGACGTCCGACATGAGTGTCCTATTTTTGCTTCTTCTTTTGGTTGATTTGCATTTCATGACATATTCGTACCTGATTCTTTGATAGGCAAAAATACTTATATTTGAAGAAAGTTAGATAAACATTTCAAAGTACTTTGTGATCATCAAAACCAAGAATAACAACCTATGTGGCTTTAGTGACTTATTTCATGTAATTTCATTGAAGGAATGAGCTTGTATCTAATTTCATAACCACGAGAGTAGGCATGACATAGTTACAAGTATAGTTGATTCGCTACGAGAGTAGGTTTGACATACATTAAGAAATTACGCCATAACTACCTAAGATAACAGCATTCACTTAATTAGTAACTTCACTTGCAAGAATTGTAAGGAATTCCATACCTCTAGAAGTTTTCACTATTTTATTACTTTTATAGTGTAGATTTAATTTCTTGTACTTGTGATAGTCTAAATAATAAAAAAATTCAAAAAATATCGATAATTGACAATCTTCCCTGCAGGATTGACACCTAATACCCCTATACTTAATAAACGACTCATATACTTGCGAAAAATTGCGTGTGGGGTGTTTAGCATTTTATAAATGTAAATCTTGACAATGGATGAGGAATCTGCTATATGTATACCTAGGCTCGTCAAGTTTTTGGCATCGTTGTCAACGAAGATTTGGCAATATCGGTGCTAAGAATAACTTTATTAATTTAAGGGCAAATTATCCAATTGGCCCTTTAACTCTTTGTCTAGGTAAAATTAAGTCCCTCATCTATTTTTTGATGATTTTAAGCCCTTGAACTTGTAAAAGTGAGAAATCGTGACCCTTTTACCCAGTTTCTCCGGTTTTCAACCGGAGGACCAATTCACACGAATGCAGGTATACTTCTTCAAAGGGCAATTTTGTCCGCATGTTCTAAACAAAAAGGGCACAACTCCTCCCTCCTTCCCTCCATTTTACACACTGCCCTCCACAGCTGCCTCTCAGAAGCAGCAAGACCTGCAACCATGGAAAGCCAATTGAATAGATTGTCCACGCTTAACGGCTTAATGGGTGCCCAAACAAGTAGGCAGGCTGCAGGATATTACGTGCCTGACTCATTCTAGGACGTCGGATTGCAGACTCTTGCACGCACAAAGAAGCAGCCAAGACCATCAGGTTCATCTCAATTCGATCGTATTCAGCAAGTGAAGGATCAACCAGCTCTCTGATTCTGCTCTTCTTCAGCTGTGGTTTTGCCTAGCAAAAGTAAAATAAAAATCAGTGCCTGTCCTTCTGTAGATTAGCCCTCTCACCTCCGCCTAAAAGAGATGCACAGTGGAGGAAGACGGCATTACCCACAACACAAGGCTTTGTTGCGAGTAATCCAGAGCCCTACGTCCGGTGATGAGTTCCAGCAGCAGCACACCGAAGGCAAACACGTCAGTCTTTTCATCCACTATGCCGTGCATTAAGAACTCGGGAGCAAGATATCTGAAATCAGAAAGATAAAAAAAAACAAAAGAAAATGGATGGGTTCATATAGATGTTGGATGAGCTGGACAGAGATTGACAGCGGTTGAATCTACAAACCCAAATGTGCCTTCAAATTTTGACACGGTGAGGTGAGTCCATTGCCTTGGTAACCATTTTGCAAGCCCAAAATCACAGATCTAAATTCAAAATTATACTCTTCAATCCAAAATCACTTTCGACTAGCAGTTGGGTTGGGTTGGGTTCGGAAAATGGAGGGAAGGAGGGAGGAGTTGTGCCCTTTTTGTTTAGAACATGCGGACAAAATTGCCCTTTGAAGAAGCACACTGCATTCGTGTGAATTGGTCCTCCGGTTGCAAAATCGGAGAAACTGGATAAAAGGGCCACGATTTCCCACTTTTACAAGTTCAAGGGCTTAAAGTCATCAAAAAATAGATTAGGGGCTTAATTTTACCTAGACAAAGAATTAAAGGGCCAATTGGATAATTTGCCCTTAATTTAAACATTTTTACTTGTTTTTCTTGTTTTTGTTGTGTCTTAATTGTTGTTTTTAGTGCCTTTTTGAGTCTTTGTTTATATTTTTTGTATGTTTAGAGTCATCTATTCTTCTTGGCTCAATGTGTTTTTGAGTTATTTTGAAAGCATGTTTAGGGATTTAAGAAGAGTAGTAAACATAGGCGGATAATACTTGAGAAGTGGAAGATCGACAATGGGTGCTTACTACGTGCAAAGCTCCACGAATAGAAGTAACAAAGAAATTACCGAAAGTATGTCATTTGAAAATTATTTAAGAAATTTAAAGACAAAACTTGATGTTATAATATTAAAAGTTCAATTGGACACCATTATGTATGAAATTGAACAAAAGAGAAATGTTATGCCTTTAATTCTAATCATGTGATTTGTGACTTGTGTGGGGGTTATCATGCTACTCATACATGTAAGCAAGTACAAATTGTGAATTATTTTGATGAATTTGAGCATTGCAATTTTTATTTTGATCAATATGGTGCTAATTGGGATAATTCTTATGCTTACGGTTTGGATAATCAATATACATATAATGCTTTTCTATGTTTATATGATTACCAATCCGAATGTGTCCAATATGAATCTAAACCACTTTGGAAATTTGATGTAGAAAAACTAGCAAATGCAACCCTTGACCGTTTTGATAGGGTTGAGGAAAGATTAGATGAATTAACTTCTCATTTTGATAGAATACAAGATCAATTACATGTATTGTGTGAAGTTATTTCTTTTAATGATATGTAAAATAACCCTATCATGATTGGTGAGCATGCTGCATGTGAAAATGGATTGCATTTTGATGAAAATGATGCATTTAATATGTGTTTCAATGAAAAAAAGTCCATTTCACAGATAGTACTTTTGGAGCTAACATTGAATCTCAAGAGGTGAGCCTTAATGACTCATTGTTAACCCTTCTTGAGGAGTGTATTGAAAGTATAGGTTTTCAAGGTATTATTGCCCAAAAAAGTCATGCAGACATTCCTGTGGTGAGTTCTTAAATGACACACATTCAAGATAATATCTATGACTCACTTGAAATTGGTAAGTCATCTCCATCTCTCTTATCATTTGAATATATGGGTTTTACTATAAAATCACCTTTTAATAATCTACCACGACCTAAAATGATAGATTATTCATTAACAAAGCCTTCTTAAAGAAATGAGGTTATATAGTCGAGCCAACGACTATAAATAAAAACACATGTTGGGAGGTAACCTAATATTTTTGTTATTTATGTTAATTTTATGTTTGAATTATGTGTTCGAATTATCTTGTTGATTTTCTTTTGTAGGTTGGGAAATAAAGGCAAAAGTGACCAAATGAAGTGAAAAAGGCGAAGTTCGATCAAGGAACTCCACCTTCGATTTGAGTAAAAATTGTTTTTAATTTGTTAAAGAGGATTAAAATGCATGTTTTGACTGTTTTACATGTGTGTGCATTGAATATTTTGGCAATAAAATGATCTAGAATACATTTTGAGTAATTGGGGTAAAAGCTTAATTTTTAAAACGTTAAGAAATTTCTGCAAAAAAATTGCAGAATGAAGAAAATGCGAACTCAGAAATACACGATCTCAAGTCGCATTTTCATGATTCAGATATTCATTTTTGCGAAAATAAAGAAGAAAATGCGATCTTCAAAATGTGACATCAAGAGCCACATATTTGATCCTGCAATTTTTCAATTGAAAATGCGAGTTCCAAAACCTGACCTCAACCTTGCGTTTTCTGTAGTCACGTTTTAGGGTTTCTTTTTAAAGAATCAAAATGCAAGTTCTTTGTTCATTCTCCTCTTCTTCTTCTCATCATGGTTTCTCGCTACACTCACACACGCTTCACCAATCTCCTCTTATACACCATTTTCTTGCAAGAATTCATCCAACAAACATCATTTGACCTTCATAGAGTCATTTTAACCGATTGAAATTCACATAAAATATCTCAAAATTCAGATTAAGGTTAGGGTTCATATTTTCTAATTTCTTCAATTGGAGGTCAAATGGGGTGATTATTATAGAGTTTTTTTTGCATCATTTGTTTCACCAAACACCACTCTACCAATTTGAGATAAATTTTTTAAACTTAACTTGGTATTTTATAATTCCCCATTTGCATATCTTTTGAAGTTAATGATATGTTTTGAATGGTGAATTTGTGATGTTTTTTGTTGATGTATATAAATTCCATGATGCTTATTTAACAGTTTTAAGCATGTTTAGATAATCAAATATGGGAATGTGATGATCTATGTAATGTTTTAATTTATACATATTCTTATTTTATGATCAATATGGTGATTGGCCTTGGAATGTTATTAAGTATAATTCAATGGTTCAAATTACTAAAATGTGACTTGTTTATGATACTTACATGTATAAATTCATTAAATGGTGATATTTTAGACAATTTGGTTACTTAATCTTCATATAGAGCATGATTGGATGATGAATTTTAAATATGTGAAGAATTTGGCAATTTTAGTTAAATTTTAGAGTTGAAACTGAACATGTACATAATGTATGTTTCTTAGATTGAGTTTTGCTTCTAATTTTGTTATTATATGGTGGTATTATAATTACCTAGAAAAGGATATATGCTTATACATCATATTATAGGTAAACAGGATGCTAATTTTGTCAAATGCATAAAAAGTTAGGAAAACGTGGTGTGATAATGTGAGAAATTTTGGCAACAAATTATTTGCAACAACTCTTCATGCTTTTGTCACTTTTTGCATCTTTTAACACTTACCTAGTTTATTTGACATTTTTTATTTTAGATTTTCTTACTAATGGTTACCTATGAAACTCGTGAAATTCATGGTTTGGATTTAATACATTTTGGATTGACGGTTTGTGGGATTTTATATATGCGCACTTTGATCGCAACAATAATAGAGTATTACTTTTTTTATCTTGGTTTTCCTGTTTACACATTAAGAACAATATGCATGTTAAGTGTGGAGGGGGGAGGGTTTAGATTATATATATTGGTTGTAATTGACTTGCTTGAAATGATTTGGACTTGATATTGGGAATATTTCTTGTGCCTTAATTTGTTCAAACTAGGGTTTGTTGGCAGGGAGTTTAGTCTATTTATAAGGAAAAACTCTACCAAAATTTTTTTAAAATCTTGACCAAAATTGCGAAATTACCCCAAAAGATTTCAAATTTTTTCAATTTTATCCAAGGGCAACAAGTTCTATACCATTAGCAATTCAAATTCCTTCTACTTTTGAGATAAATATATGTGACTTGAAAACTTCTTTTATCATTTAATTTGAAAATGACTATTATGTGATTGTAATTTGTGCATTTATAGAAAAATATATCATGTAAAGTGGAGAAAATTATAGCTACATTTTACATATTTGGTGAAATTTCTTCTCTCTACTCGATTTTGCATAGTTAAGTGATAAATATGGTTAATAATTGCAATACTATCAGTCCTCTTAATCCTGTCTTGAGACGAATCCGGACACCAGTCTAGACTAGAGCCAGCCAGAGAGTGCCAAGAGCGGAGGAGTTGTTAGTCATGTGACTGGACACAGGTGGGCAGTGTGAGGACCCGCAAAATTCTCCTTGTTTTATTTTATACTATTTTATTTTTTCGAGTGCATTTTCCTTATTTTAATTTTATTATATTAAATTTTCAGAGATTTTTATATGTGAGTATCGTTTTAAATAATTTTTCCTAATATAAGTTAGTTCGTGTTAAGTTTGAAGTGCATTGTAAACGTGGGACTCGCTAGTACGATAAGTGCGATATATTTTTGACCACTAGTTGAAGTTTTGTGTTAAGTGATATTATTGTACAACGTATTAAGAGATAATTAGCGATTAGTTAGGAAGATTAGTGTTGGAAGACAAAGCTAATTAGAGTAAACTCTAGAAGCTAAGTGTCAAGACACCATTGGAGGGTGGACTTTGACCCAAGATTACCTTACTTTCTAATTAGCCAAATTTGACCAAAATTCATCTCATTTTCCTTCATCCTTGGCCAGCCAAAAGAGAGGAGAAAAGAGAAAGAAGGCTTCGTCTTGCACCTCAATTTCTTGCTACAATCTTGAGTTTTAACCAACCAAATCATAAACTACTCCATAAAAGTTGTTTACTAAGGAAGATTAAAGAATTGAGTGAATGATTTTGGAGGGACAAATTCTAAACTACCATCTTTGTTGAGGATACAAGGTACTTTGGACCAGAAACTTCCTTTTCCTTCATATATGTGTAAATTAGTGGATTATAGTTGCTACATAGGTAACTTTGTAAGAATATTTCATGGTTTGAAATAGTTTTATGGTAAATTTTAGTTTTATGGTGAAAATTCTGATCACATGTGATGCTTGAGAGTTGTCCATGTTTTGATAGTTTAGCTATGTGTAATATTGAAGTTTTATAGACTAGTTTAACTTGCCTAAGGAAATTTTAGCTTGTGTGCCTAAATTCCAGCAATAGAAGGTTGAACTGCCCTGCTACTGACCTATACGTATGTCCATGTTAGAGGCTGAATCAGACTTAGATTGAAACATAAAAATTGTAGGAAATGGTGTTAACAATCTGCCTGCAAATTTTAGCTCAATCGGAGCACTGTAGCATGTGAAATGACAAAAATACCCTTGACTGCCAAATGTAC